AGCTGCCAGGTCTGTGGGGGTAGCCCCTGACTTCAGAGGGCCCCGTCGTCTGGGCTCCACGAGCGTGTCCCCAGCAGGGCTGCCCTGTGGCCCAGGCACCTGGCATGCACGTGCAGCAGCCAAGGGGGGAATGAGGCACTCATTCTGCCTTTCCTTCTTCCCAGGCCTGCAGGGGAGACTCCGGGGAGCAGTGGGGGCCCCCCAGCACGCAGCCTTTCCACCAGCAGCAGCAGCCCCAGCTCGGGTGCCCCTGGTCCCAGTGGGCTGGCGCGTCAGAACAGCGTCTCGCTGACGGGCAAGCCCGGGGCCCTACCCACCAACCTGGACGAGATGAAGGCAGGTGCCGGCCCCTCCCCCAGGGCCTTCTGGGAGTCTCATTTGGAGGCACAGCAGTCACAGCCCACAGGAAGAGCAGGGCTGCAGACTCCGGTCTCCGTCCCACAGAGGCTCCTTGTCCCGGCTGCACCTGCCTCAGCACGGCCACTGTCCTGTCTGCTCAGTACCTTGGGGCGCACCCAGTGGTTTTCCGCTCTTCTCTCCCTCGACCTCAGCAATGCGGTGCCAGAAACCGGGGTTAGACCTCCAGTCCAGGACGGAGAACCCGGGGTGCTGAGAGCGCCAGTGGAGGAGGGAGGAGCCCCCAGTGATAGAGCCAGGATTCAGACTTGGGGCTGCCCAGTTCAGCACCCCCACACCATCTCCTTGGCCAGTCGATGCCCCATGGAGCCTGCTGGATAGCTCCCGGGTTCTAGGCCTGGGGTCTGTGTCTGATCAGAAGAAGAATAGACCACGTTCCCTATGAGCCTTGGCCTCTGGACAGGCAGATCCCACCTGGGCCATGAGCCAGATCCCAGGAGAGATCCAGCCTCTTGTGGAGGCAGCTGGGCCTGGGTGCTGGCCCTCAGACCTAGACAGGAGCCCAGCTAGTATGACCTGGCAGCCATTACTGTATTTTTGTGAGCTCAGTTTCCTCATTTGTAAAACACAGTTCTGTTAAGTATGTGGGAGCCCCAGGCCCCAGGCTGGCATAGCTAATATGTGTGAGCACGCGTATGTTTGAGTACAACGTGCTTGACCCCCCCATCCTCCCAGACTCTCCTCCAGGCTGGACCCAGTCCCCTTTGTCCAGCCATGTGCATCTGCTGCCTGGACAACACCCTGGATCCCCTTGCTGACCTGGCTCCTGTCCCCTCGCAGGTGGCAGAGCTGAAGCAGGAGCTGAAGTTGCGCTCACTGCCTGTCTCAGGCACCAAGACTGGCTTGATAGAGCGCCTGCGTGCCTACCAAGACCAAATCAGCCCCGCCCAGGGGACCCCCAAGGCCCCCGCCACCGCCTCTATTCTGCCCAAGGCTGGAGAGGTGGTGGTAGCCTTCCCAGCAGCCCGGCTGAGCACAGGGCCAGCCCTGGTGGCAGCCGGCCTGGCTCCCACTGAGGTGGTGGTAGCCACGGTGACCAGCAACGGAGTGGTCAAATTCGGCAGCACGGGCTCCACCCCGCCCGTCTCTCCCACCCCCTCTGAGCGCTCCCTGCTCAGCACAGGCGACGAGAACTCCACACCTGGGGACACCTTTGGTGAGATGGTGACGTCACCCCTGACCCAGCTCACGCTGCAGGCCTCGCCGCTGCAAATCCTCATGAAGGAGGAGGGCCCGCGGGCCGGTGCCTGCTGCCTGAGCCCGGGGGTGCGGGGCGAGCTGGAGGGGCGTGACAAGGACCAGATGCTGCAGGAGAAGGACAAGCAGATCGAGGAGCTGACGCGCATGCTGCGGCAGAAGCAGCAGCTGGTGGAGCGCCTGCGGCTGCAACTGGAGCAGGAGAAGCGGGCCCAGCAGCCTGGCCCCGGCCCGGGCCCCCTCGGCACGGCCGCCACCGTGAAGCAGGAGAGCGGCTTCGCCAGCTGCCAGCTGAGCAGGCCGGCCCCGGGCCCCACGCGCTCCTTCAGCCCCGGCCTGGCCGCCTCCACCGCCGACCACACGGGTGCTGGCCCCGCAGCCCTCACGCCTCCGGCTGTGGTGGTGAAGCAGGAAGCCGGGCTGCCTGAGCCCACGCCGGTGCCAGCCCCCCAGCTGCTGCTGGGCCCACGGGGCTCTAGCTTCATCAAGGGGGTCACGCCTCCCACCCTCATCACCGACTCCACTGGGACCCACCTCGTACTCACTGTGACCAATCCCAACGCAGACAGCCCTGGCCTCCCCGGCGGGAGCCCGCAGCAGGTATGTGGGCTGGGAAAGCGTGGCAGGAAGCTCCTTTCCCGGCAGCCCCACGTGCCCAGCGTTTTGTTGGCTGCGTTGAACTTTCCCTGCAGCCCTGGGGCCTGTGTGCCTTGCTGACCTCCCATTTCCTCAGAACACTGAGAAGGGGGACTTCAGGGGCCCTGACCAGACCCACAGCCCGGAGGGGCCGCCAGGGTGTGCCCCCTGACCCCGCAGCCCAGCCATGGCACTAGCACGTGTTGCTCTGGTGTCCTCACCATGCCCAGCGCCTGCTGCCCTGCTTCAGGAGTTGGGAGGGGCCCGGGTAAGGATTGAGGAGCCCCTTTCATTTGTGAGGCAGCTGCTCGGGCTGGGCCCTGGCTGAGGCCAGCTGTCCCCTACCAGGGTGTCCCTGTCAGCTGATCCACAGCCCAGACTCTGCCCAGCCTGGCCCACTGGTGAGGCTGCACTTAGGCCCTGTGTGATCTCAGGCCTGCAGAGCTAGGGACTTCGAGGGCATGGAGGCCCTGCGCAGCCTCAGGCACAGGAGGAAGACGCAGACGTGCCAGCTGGGAGCGGGAGGCAGCCCAGAGCCCTGTTCTCGCCCCCTGCGTGCGTGTCCTGAGCCCAGGCTCAGAGGCCTTCCTCATCCTGCGCCCTCCTTCCCCAGTGGCCTCCACAAGCGCACCCTGGAAGGCGTTGGCCTGGCCCAGGGGGCGCCTGCCCCTTGCCTCCTGGAGGGTGGGGGCCCTGTTCTGCTTGCTTCCCCCCCGGAGGTAGGTCTTCACCCTCAGCCACCGTTCTCTCCCATCCTCCTGTCCAGCCCGCATCCCAGCCTGACTCTCCAGCACCTGGCCCACCAGCCCAGATGGATCTGGAGCCCCCACCCCAACCCCTCTGTGGGCCCCCCATTTCTCTGCTGAAGAAGGAGCCGCCTGGCTATGAGGAAGCTGTGAGCCAGAAGCCCAAGCAGCAGGTGAAGAAGGTGGACTGGGGCCTGGCCAGATGAAGGGCCACGCGGGGCTGCTGGAGGGCGAGGGGATGGGCCTTGGGGGATGGGCCTGCTGAGGCAGGAAGGTGTCAGGGATAGGGCTCTGGCTGCAGCTTGGGCAGAAAAGGCACCCAAGGCCCTGATTGGCTGGTGGGGCTCTTCTACCTAATCCTCACTTTTTTTCCTCTACTTTTGTCCCACAGGAAAATGGTTCCTCAAGCCAGCAGATGGATGACCTGTTCGACATCCTTATTCAGAGTGGAGGTGAATCCTAGATCCCTGCTGCCTCCCCAAGCCTCCTCTCTTCATAGGTTGTCTCGGCCAGAGGCTGTTTGATTCCGGGGCGGGGGTGGTTTATTGAGCACATACTGAGTAGCAGACCCCGTCTAAACACTTTGGCCACCCCAGTGAGGGGGTACTACTGGCCTGGTACAGAAAGGACAGCAACCCCCATGTTGATCATTCACTGACCCCAGCTGTGGGGCAGACACCGTTTTCATCACAACAGAAGAGACACCTTGTGGAGCTCCGGGTCTGGCATGAGGAGATAGCAACCAACATGACACACAGTAACTAAGACCTCAGAAGAGTACTTGTGAGGAAAACAGAAGGCAGGGAGGGTCCGGGGCCAAGTGCAGCCCTGCAGACAATCAGGTGAGGGCTGTAGCCTCCAGGCAAAGCGGGAATCATCTCCATCTTGTTCCTGAGTCACCGCGTGTCGTCAGGGTGGGGGATAGGCGGTGCACAGGCTCGCAGGAGGGGGCCTCATCCAGATGTGGGCATCCAGGACAGGCTTGGCGGTGGGGTGGGGGGGTGAGCCTTCCAGTGAGGAGAAAGGTTCAGAATATTCTATCTGCAGGCTAGTACAGTGGGTTGAGAGAAAGGTGTGAAAACTTCCAGAGGGGCAGACAGGCATTTGCAGAATCAGAGGCAGCCCCAGGTGCTGACCTGGGTGGGGCCCAGGGTGGCTGTTGGACTAAGTCCCAGCTGTGTGGTGGTTGATCTCATGGCAGCCATGGGGGCTACAGGGAGGTGACAGGAGGGAAATGGTCTGCTTTGTGACTTGCTAAATTTACGTCACATGGGTTTCTGGGCAGAGGAGCGTTTGGGGCAGAAAGTGGCAAAGCAGGTAGTGAAACTGCAGCAAGTAGCAGCCAGGACTGCAGGGGACAGTAGGAGGGGAGTGAGGGGCTCAAGCAGAGCCAGGGGGTGTCCTGCTGATGACCAAGTTGAGGGGTCAGCAGGGATCCCAGGGCCCTGGCTTCTGCAGCCAGGTGGTAGGTGACAGCCTGTCTTGCAATGGGTCACAAGGGACATGGTGGGAGGACAGGTTGGAGGAAGAGTTCTGGTCTGGCCAGGACCCCACCGGTGGCGCCAGAGACAGTTACGGGACGCAGCAGGCCCACTTAAGGAGTTGACAGCATGCACGTGATTAACACACAGGAGGAGGGAGCATGCTGCCCGCTGCTGATGGTGCTGACCACGGAGACTGCCGTGCGTTCTCTCCACAAGGCTCAGTAGCTGCTTTTAGACTCTCAGGGCGGGTCTGTGTGCAGGTGGTGCTGCGGCTGTTGGCGGCGGCTGGGCAGCCTGTGCATCCAGCATCCAGATGGGAACCGAGACAATGGGAGCAAATGAGGCTGCCCGGGGAGTTGGGATGACAGAGAAAGGGTGATGGGGGCCCGGAGTGGTGGCAGGGACCCCAGGAAGTGACACTTGGATGGATGGGTGGCACCTCCCGTGTTCTTCTAGAAGGGATGCGGTCTCAGCTGCGCCTTGAGAGGAGCAAGCAAGCTGGGCCACCTTCTGACTCCACTGTTCTTGATTGGCAGAGATCCCAGCAGATTTCAAGGAGCCGGCACCCTTGCTGGGGAAGGAGAAGCCCTCCCTGCCAGCCCCCTGCGTCTCCCCGCTGGCTGCACAGCCCTCGCCCTGCACCGAGCTCCCGCAGGCGGCACCCCCTCCGTCCGGCTCGCCCGCCCTCCCTGGGCACCTGGAGGACTTCCTGGAGAGCAGCACAGGGCTGCCTCTGCTGCCGGGCGGGCCTGAGGGCCCAGAGCCCCTGTCCCTCATCGATGACCTCCACAGCCAGATGCTGAGCAGCTCCGCCATCCTGGACCACCCCCCCTCGCCCATGGACACCTCCGAACTGCACTTTGCGCCTGAGCCCAGTGGCACCATGGGCCTGGACCTGGCCGACGGGCACCTGGACAGCATGGACTGGCTGGAGCTGTCGTCGGGCGGGCCCGTGCTGGGCCTGGCCCCCTTCAGCACTGCAGCCCCCAGCCTCTTCTCCACAGACTTCCTGGATGGGCACGACCTGCAGCTCCACTGGGACCCCTGCTTGTAGCCTCCACTTTGGAGGGGGGTTTGGGGGCAGGGCTCTGGAGGGACAGCCCGCTGGGCCTGAGTCTGCCTCCCTGTGGCTGTCTTGACAATCACAGTCCCCATTAGTCCTTCCCGGGGAGACAGAGCAGAGGGTCCCCGTGCCAGGTTCTGCATCCCAGGGGGGGCAGCAAAGCCCTCCGTGCAGCTCTGGGCCTGCCCTGGCTCTCAGATGCCCGAGGTGCCACTGTCGATCTCAGGCAGGAGAGGCCCAGGGCTGGGTGGTAAAGGCTTGGCTAGCTTTTCCTCCCCCTGCCTTGGGAAGAAAGCAGCCTGCCTTCCTGTCAGCCAACCTCAGGGCCCCCAGGCTGCCAGAAGGGGCTCCCTGCCATTTTAGTGTTGTGGACAGCAAAACCATTTAGTTTTCAGTGGCAAAAAGTTTCTGTACAGGTGTACATACCTCTCAATTATATATCGACACACCCCAGAAAAATCAAACCCACTGCTGTTGATCCCGGCTCATAGTGACCCCATAGGGCAGAGTAGAAGGGCCTGTAGGGTTTCCAAGGCTGTAAATCTTGATGGAAGCAGAGCTGCCACGTCCTCCCTTGCAGCAGCTGAGACCTGAGCTCCTGCGCCCCAGGGCTCCCTCAGCATACAGCATACACATACGCACACAGTTTGGGGAGGGGTGGGTGCAGTGCCCTCCCCCTCCCGCTCTGCATCTAGAGATGGGCCTTGAGGACACAGGTCTTGGGGCAGGCACTCTAGATCACCTCAGGCTGTGCCGCAGTCATGGTCTTGCCTCAGCCTGGTGTGGAGTCACCTAGGCCCACCTGTCACCGGTGTTTTGACATGTAGACACCCTGCCACACCTGCTCCGTATGTTGTGCTTCCTGGCCCCCTCCTCAGTGCCACCAGGGCAGAGGTACTTCCTGGCCCTGTTCAGCCACACACTTCCACCCATGCCTCCCCACACCCCCCAATTGCCCCACTGCAGCCACAGCTGACCTGGGACAAGAGGGTAGCACCCCAGGTCAACACTCAGTCTCACCAAAAGTGCTGGGGCTGGTGGGAGTGTGTGAACTTTTTAAAATAAAAACAGAATTACAGCTGGCTTCATTGCATCCTCTGTACACTGGTGGGGAAGGGGAGCTGGGTCCCGTGTGCGCTTCCCATCAGGCCCCGGGCCTGGCTCCCAACCAGGGGCCACACTGCCCCTTCTAGACCGCTCCAGGACAGGCAGCGTGCCCTGGCTGACAGAAGCCAGGAGGCCCTTTCTCAAAGACCGTTTATTTACAGGCCCCACCCCACCCCCTTCCTGAGCAAAGATCCACAGAACAGAGGCCATGCTCCACCTCTTCCCAAGATTTTTGGTTGGCACCCAGCCTTAAAGGCCTCAGCTGGGGAGAGCCTCCCTGGGATGGAGAAACGGGCCTAGCCGGGCACCCCCTTCTGCTCCTGCCCTGTGGGGGCCCACCACCTATCCCCCCACCAGTCACTGCCTCCAGGGACACTCCGTGGGTCTGGGGACGTGCCCCCTCCTGATCCTGGGGCCAGGGCTCCAGAGTGTCACCTTCCCTCAGCTGGGGGCAGCTGCAGACCCAGAGCAGCCTGCGACCGGCCAGGCAGCTGACTCTTCTTGAGGCAGGGCCTGCTTCAGTAACCGGTGGGTTGGGGGGCCTGGTAGGGCCCCTGGAGGAAGATGTCACCCATCTATGTCCCAGCTGAAAAGGTGGTGCTTCACCAACATGTCCTGAACGCCCTCCTTCAGGGGCTGCTTCTCCTCCTGCACACAGGGAGGGGCCTTGCCACAGTCACTCCAGGAACACGCCCGCCCAGCCAGCCCACTAGAGCCCCTGAGGGAAGGACTAGCCAAGACGGCCCACCTCTCTCTTCGCAGGAAGTTCCCAGTCCTGAGACAGGCTGAAGGCAAAGCAGCAGAGAACGCTGGAGGTGAGGAAGGTGTAGGTGAGGGTCTCCCAGGCCTCAGGTCAGCTCCGCCCCCGCTCCCCGTGCCCCTAATCCCAGGGCCGCTCCGCCAGGGCCCGGGCCAGGCCTCACCGGAGTTCACACTTGATCTGGACCCAGCCGGGGCTGCGCAGGAAGGACCAGGGCTGGTACCACTTCTCCACGGAGGGCAGGCTGGAACAGAGCACCTCCAGCCACAGGTGCAGGACCTGCTCGCTGAGGACACGGTGCGACAGGGAACAGCTGCTCCCGGGCCCCTCGGCAGGCTGCCACCCCCACAGGAAGGAGGGGCCATCGCAGGTCCCCTCTGGGGAGGGTGGGGGACACCCCACCCTACCCCTACCCCCCTCCACCTTGGGGCCCAGCCTTCACTCCCAGCCAAGGTTGAGGAGGTGGCCCTTGCCACACTCGGAGGTGCTCATCCCCATTGTCTCCCACACCCCTCCCCCTCCAGGGCTCCTGCACAGCCCTTGGGTCTGGCTTTGGAGACAAGATGTGCCCAAGGCCACTGCCCCAGGCCACAGGGCCTTGACCACTGTCCTAGGCCCAATCGCAGCCGCCTGGACGACAGGGGCCTACCAGCTACCTCTCCCTGTCCGACTGCCACTGCCACTCCAACCCTGTGGGCCCTCCAGCCTGTGCCCAGCTATTATCGAGAACCCCAGAAGCCCCCCGTGCTCACACAGCCTTACTCCTGGGGACACTGTCACCGGTCGGCTCACTGACACAGGCTTCCCAGGGCCCTATGCAGTCCTGCCCTGTGCTGGCGTCTGGCTGACATCGCCCTGCAGCCACTCCAGTGCACCGTCAGAGCCCCCCACACCTCGCTGTGCGCACTAGCGCCCATGGCTGGTGGCACACTCACTTGAGGCCCACGCAGATGAGGGAGCGAAGCTTCACGTCCATCTGTGCGTGGGCCGCGTCATGGGTCACGTTCACCGACTGCACCGCCTGGTGGGCATGGGCCATCACTTGGGTGTTCCCTCTGCCCACGCGGGGCAGCCCTTCCCTCGGCCCCTTACCCGGTACAGCAGCTCCTCCGGCGTCAGGACTTTGCCATCTTCGTCTAATCTATGGGGGCCGGGGGGAGACCACAGCTCTCAGCGCTGCCCCGTGGACTGGGCCCTGCCTCCCCCCAGGACGGGCCGTGTGTCACCTGTACGTCTTACAGAGCACCAGACGGGAGTACACGGAGTCGAAGTCCCTCTCCACCTCCCGGCCTGCTGCCTGTGGGGACGGGCTGTGCATCAGGCGCAGGAGCCGCCAGGCAGCCCGGCACCGACCGAGTGGGGACCGAGTGGGGACGCTGCTACGGGGCAGCCTGCGCCCAAACGAGTAGGCGTGGCTGCCTGGGCGTCCCCTCCCACCACTCCCACAGGCCCAGGGCAGCAAAGGCCTGAGAAGGGACATGCAGGAACTGCAGGCTAGTACAGGAGCCCCAGAAACAGGACAAAGGACCCAGGCCCAACTTACCTCCTCAATGAACAGCCAGGGGTGGCAGGCGCCACCCAACAGGGACGGCTTCTTCAGCCCGTGTTCAAACAGGGCCTTGAGGGCCGGGCAGAGGGTTCCACGCACAAGGTCTGTGACACCCTCAGTCACAGAATCGTCTCCTGCGATGGAGTACTGGGGGAGGGATGGTCTGAGAAGACCAGCCTTACCAGGCAGCCGCCCCACTATGTCCTCTTGGCCACTGCCACTGCTAGGAGGGCAGTGGGCCTCAGGCAGGGCCAGCTCCTCAGGGCCAGCCCGTGTCCCTTACCTCTTTACTCCGCTCATCCAGGACTTCCACAAACTTGGCTGGAAACCAGCCTGTGGACAGAGCAAGCCTGTGAGAGACTGCTGTGACCCTAGCACTGCTACAGCAAAGCCACGCCCCCCGCCCCACATCCCCCCGCCAGGTGCCCCAGCCTCCCCTCCTGCACCTCCAGGGGGCGCCACCACACACCTCGCAGGCCATTCAGCTCCCCCACCCAGCAGTGCTCGTCCTTCTGGGAAATGACCTGCAGGGAGGGACAGCAGGACCAGAGCTTCACTGCCGGGGCCAGCACCCCTGGCTATCCTACAACGCTGCCGTCCAGGATCCCCACTGGCCTGGAGTGGCAGCTCTCGGCAGGAGCGGGACTGTCCTGAGGCTGGAGCAGGGATGGGTGTCGGGAGGGACACGGTCCCCGGCCCCGCCCACACACACCGTGATGATGTCATTCTTGCGGAAGCCCAGCTCGTCGTCGTCGTGTCTCTCGAAGTCTAGCAGGGCCTTGGCACGGCGCCGGTGGCTGCGTGAACATGCCACGTAGTTCTCGTGGTCCCGCTGGTGGCTCTCCATGCTGTAGTCTGGGGTCAGCTCCTGTCAGGGAGGACTGAGGCAGTGGTAGGGGCAGAGAGGCCCCCAGCCTGGACCGCAGTCCCTAGGATGGGACTGGGCAGGAAGCCTAAGGCCCGCTGGTGGGAGGGTGGGTGCCTGCCACTCACCACACTACAGTTTTTGGGGTCTGTGCACTGGAAATGGCGGGCCACACGCAGGATGGCTTCTCGGAGGTCGGCCACCAGCTCCGTCTGCTTGATATTCTTGGCCTTGAGAGCCTCCAGGTCGTCCTCCCCTGGGGGGCAGTAGGGCTGTAGTGACCATGGGCCCTGCCTGGACCCTCCCTCCACACATGCCCAGCCTGCAGTGTGGGGGGTCCACATCCCTGCCCCAGCTGCCGCATGTCCTCACCGAAGAGCAGGGAGGTGATACCAGACTTCCTCCGCTGGGCCCTGCGCCGAACCACCTGTGGGCAGGGACAGCAGCTCGGTGGAGCCCTGGGTGCCTGGTGCCAGTCAAGCTGAGCACCTCACCCAGAGGAAGGCACCAGTCACAGTGCCCTCTCGGGGGGACCCGGGCCAGCACGCGCCTGCGCCACTGCTGCTCAGGCCCTAGCAGGCAGGTTCTGAGGGTCGCAGTGTACGTCTTGACTCCCCCGGTGTCTGCAGACCAGACCCTGGGGGGCCCTTGGTAACGAGTGGAGTAGGGCCCAGAGGGGCAGGCAGCCCGCGTCTCTCCCACAAGGCTTCTCGTGCTGGCCCACCTGAGAGAGATTGGTGGTGGTGCTGGTCCCCAGGAGCTGGCCCTGGTCTGCAATGAGGTAGGCCAGATGCTTGCGACGCTGCGTCTCCACAGCCACATCCGTGAGGGAGCCAGCCAGCCGCATGGCCGTCCCCAGCAGCAGCTCTGCATCCTCGATCTGAGACGGGATGTCCGACAGTGTGTTGAAGATGGAGGCCGAGTTCTCTGACTCGATCAGCTCCTCCTCCTGGGCCATGAGAGGGCAAAGGGGGCATCACTGCTAGGTCTCAAGCCCCCTAGCAGCCCTGCTGACCAACCTGAGCCTTGGCCCACATCCTGGCCAAGAATCCTGGCTGCAGCAGAGGGGTGTGGGGAAGAGGGGGGAAGAGGGGGGAAGGGGCTCTCAGCTGACCACCCTGGGGCTTGGGCCTGGAGCCCCTGTCCACCCAGACGGCCTCTCTGCCGTGAGAGGCCTGGAAGCCCGCATCCACCCAGGAGGGCCTCTCTGCCGCACGGGGCCTGGGCCGGGCACCTTGAGGCGGAGCATGCCGAGCGTGGTCTGGAAGAGCACCAGGGAGCCCCCGTAGAAGAACAGGTCCCAGATGCGCAGCAGCAGCCTGAGGGGCACCACACTGGCGAAGGCCGTGAGGAACCAGTGCAGCGTGATGAGGGACAGCTCTGTGGGCACAGCACCGCCGGGCTAGGACCAGGGGCAGCCCAGGAGCAGGGGCGTGCCCAGGCCCACCCCCTGGGGAGGAAGTCAAGGGCGCCCCCCAGAGCAGCAGGAGGCCTTGCCTGGACAGGGCACCAGGGATGGCAGAGAAGAAACTGACAGCAAAGAGGCCATGTGGCGGCGGCGTGCCTGGGCAGCAGTCGTGAGGGCCCCAGAAGCTCAGAATCTGACCCCGTCTCTGGACCCCCCGCCCCCAGGCCCGGGAAGGAGGCGAGCAGTCCACGCACCAATGTCGTGTTCCTGGAGCAGCCTGTCCAGTCGGGGCAGGTACTGGACGATGAGGTGACGCAGGACGCGCTGGTCCGTCTGCACCCCCAGCAGGGTGGTGCTGAAGTAGGAGGCAGGCAGCAGGTCCTCGGTGATGGCGCACATCATCCAGAAGGCGTCCTCCTCCTCCAGGAGCAGCAGGAGGCACGCGGCCACCTGGCCAAGGGGACGGCCGCTCAGCACGTCTTCACGTGAATGAGAGAGAGCACCTCCCCCAGACCCGGGAGAAAGATGGCCTCTCTGGGCAGACAGACCACGGAGGCCCCCCCTGCCCACCTGTCTGCCCGTACGTCCACTCCACCTGACCAACCTTCCACAGCGGCCCAGCCTGCACGTCTCCCCCCGGCCCTAAGAGTGACACCTAAGGGGCATCCTGCCAGCTGACAGGCACCCCGGGCTGTGCTCACCATGCCCATGCCCTGGCAGTAGCCGATCTCGGGGTAGAGCCAGGCCAGGGCCCGGAGGATCCTGCGCAAACGTGGCACCCCAACGCTGCCGACGCTGGCAAAGCAGGCGTTGCTAGGCATGGTACGGAGCAGGTCCTTCTCGATCTGTCGGGAGGCCCACACGCCTCCCCTCAGACCTGTGACACCTGTGCAGGCCTGAGGAGGGGTCCCCAACACTTGTGGGCCCTGCAGCCATGCTGACACCTGTGATGGGCTGGGCGAAGTCCCCGCAGATGCCTCTCCCAGGAGGGAGACTTCCCGGGCTCAGGCTACCCTCCTCCCCTCAAGATTCTATTTGAGGTGGTGCGGCCGTCTCACTCCACTCACCTGGGCAACTTAAATGGATTTCTGGGGTTCACACGAGACTCTGGTGTTGAGTGCCATTGCCACCAAGTCAATGCTGACTCGCAACCCTACGGAACTGCCCCATGGGGTTTCCAAGGCTGAGATCCTCACAGGAGCAGACTGCCACGTCTTTTCTCCCAAGGAATGGCTAGACGGTTTGAACCACTGATTTTCTCTTTAAAAGCTGAGCACTCTAACTACTGTACCACCAGGGTATCAATGAGGGACAAGGCCTGGAAATCTATATTTAAAACCCTCCTGGACTGACCTCACCTATATCCAGGTTTTGGGACCCATCTCTTCTGTCCTTCAAAGCCCTGGTGGCCTGAGACAACTCTCCTTGGGGTTTAGGGAGTAGCCAGGAGGCACCCAGCTTTCTCAAGGCACACATGTCCGCACGTCAAAGGTCCGCTTGGCTCCACAGTTACCACCAAGGTTTTCCCACTGCCCCTGCCGAGGAGGGGCTGCAAGACCTGGGAGCAAGTGTTCAGCGACCCTGGAAGTGACCTGAATGCAGCCTGAGCCTTACCTGTTTGGCGGCAATGGTCTCATCGTTGGAGCTATTCCTCACCATCTCGCGGTATGACAGCTCCGAGCTGTGCTTCTTCTGCAGGGCCCCTGAGAGCCGCATCCACAGCTAGGGAGGAGCCAGCACTCAGGTTTCCCACGACCCTGCGCCAGCCTCCCAACCCTCTAGGGCTCCACAGCCAGCCCACCTGCGGCCTCATGCTGTGAGGGATGCCAGCCAGCACCAGGGAGCGGAGCTTCTCCGAGCGGGGCAGGGAGACTGCGATCTTGTCCCAGGTGAGGTCCCCCACGTCATGGTTGTGGGTGAACTCCAGGTGGGCCTGCCACTTCAACATCTGCTGAGGGTCCTCCACCAGCGACGTGCCCAGCAGCCTGGCGGAGCTGTCAGTGTCTGCACAGCCAGGTGGGCGTGGGCAGCAGCGGGGGTGCACGTTACATCCCTCAGCATGGCCACATCCGTCCTCAGAGGGCGGGGGCCTGGGAGTCACAGCCCAGACTGTCGCCCAAGTCTAGACTCACCTTTCCATGCTGACTGACAGCTCCAGACAAGGCCTGCTTACTGCACATGGAACCCTTCCTCTCTCTCCCCACCCTGCCCCGTCACAGGGGAGTCTCTCCAGCCCAGAAGCACCATGTCATCTTCCAGGTACCCAAGCCTGACCCTTGACATCAGCTCTGGCTCCTCCTTGACCCGCACCCCCGCCCAGCTCTCCCTGCACCTCCTCTGACCACTTCGACCAGCTCTCCCCCATCCACACCGTCATCTGTCATCTGATGACTGCGGTGGCCTCTAAAGGCCGCTCCGTGCACATCTCTGCCCTGCTAACGGCTGACCTCCACGGTCAGGCCAGCCCATCTGAAACACAAGCCAGACAACACCACTGCTCAGAACCCTCCAAGTGGCACTGTCACTTGTAGCCAAAGGCCCACAAGGCTCCCCGAGTCCTCCTCCTGGCCCCCACCTCCTCTGTCCTCCCTCCCTCCCTCCATCCCAGCACCAGGGCGTCCTGCTGCCCCCCCAGACCCACTTCAGGTAGCACCGTCACTGGTAGCTGAAGGCCCACGAGGCTCCCCAAGTCCTCCTCCTGGCCCCCACCTCCTCTGTCCTCCCTCCCTCCACCCCAGCACCAGGGCGTCCTGCTGTCCCCCCCACACCGCAGGGCCTTTGCACGATGGTTCCTCTGCCCTAGGCACACTCACGCCCTTGCTTCCATCCAGTCTCTGTTCAGATGGCTCCTTCCCAGAGAGCTTTCTCTGAGCACACGGCATAAAACCCCGCGTCCCCTCCTGCCTGGCCCCCAGTTCCCTGTACCGCTCTTCCTGCCCCCGACAGCTTACAGGCCCTTGGTTTGCTGTGTCCTGCCCATCCCCCCACTGCTGCCTCCTGCTCTGCCGAGGCCCTGCGGCTACAGCAGGACCCCGCACAGCCATCCTGGCTTCCGTTAGGCCCAGTGCAAAGAACGAGGATGAGGGTCTCGGTGCGACCATCTCTGTGGATTCACCCCCAACCTCACCCTCACTCGGCCCCCAGCCTTCTGCCTAGCTTAGGGGCCAACTGTAACGAACATACACAAGGTAAAATGCACACATTTTAAATGAACACCTTGATGAACATCAATAAACATACAAACGTATAACCCTTGTCCCCATTAAGACACAGAATCATGCCAGAAATGGCCTTTGGTCCCTCAGCCCCAGCTTCTAGCCTCCAAACTTCTGCCTGAAACCTACAAGAAGGACAACTTGGGTCAGAACTGGAAACTTCAGAGACTTAAATGGGATTGGTTTGGGCTGATTAACATGCTCTGGTCCTGCTGCACCTGGCAACAGGCCACCTGGGCTCCTACTCGGAAACCAGTGGATCTGTTTATAGCAGAAAACAAGAAAAATGGCCAGAGGTCCATTTATATTAGAGGAGAATGGTTACAAAACCCCAGGGAGCCAGCTACCACTGTCAGCCACTTGGAGGGGATCTCTGTAGGAGATCCTGGATGAGAGGGAGAACAATGCGGAACAAAACTCAAAATCATTTGGACAAAAAAATAGGGGACCAGGTTTGCTGGTCTGGTAGAGCCTGGTGGAACCACTAACACTGTGGCCCCGAGCTGCCCTTCAGGTCTGGAATTGAACCCACACCTGCGGCTTCCAGCCAAGCAAAAGACAGGCATAGGAGTCAAACATTTACCTGAGACAGAAACACTCCTTGGAGAGAACAATCATGGGAGAAAGAAGGGCTGTTTATGCACAGGGAGACAGCTCAGGCGGCAGGGGTGCATGGAGGGATGGACACAGGGAAGAGGTGACTGTCAGGAGGAAGTGGGAGAGGAGCTGTTGCACTGGGGTAAATTGTGGTCAATGTCATGAGACAAAGTGTACGTGAACTGCTGTATGGAAAGTGAATTTTCTCTGTAAATT